ACTTAGTTGTAGTTGTAGTTGTAGTTGTAATTATGTAGTTAAAATTTAGTTGAAGCTTGTAAATGTTTTAATGTTTTTCTCCAAGCTAAAGTAATAATTTGCTTAATAGTAGTCAGTTGTTGTTGTGAATTTGAGTAGAAGAAGTCTTGAGTTTCCCACTTTCTTAGTGTTTTTGTAATATTTGCGATATAAATAGCTTCAAAGTAAATGGTTAAGCGGCCGTTCGGGCCAATTTTAAAATTTAGTATTTTTTTTTTTAAATGCCTCCTCGTAGTCAGATAGGTAGTTGGCAAAAAGTGGCGCTAAAGTTTAGTTGTTTTTTGTGTTGCTGTTGTTTTTGGTCCTTCACTCTCGAGTGGCGGCGCGTTAACTTCTTTTGTTTGCTTAGAGATTTTGCTGCTTTAAGGCGCAGAAAATTGGGCGTTTTTGTTGCTCTTGTTGCTGTAGTTGTGCAGTTTGGTTTCAATTTCGAATTTTAGCACCAAATATTTGAATAAATGTCCAATTCGCTTGCACTTTAAAACACTTTTAAGAATACTTAAGTAGTAGGTAAGTAGGTAGTAATTTTTAATGAAATTCACCATTCAAAATTCAATAAATCACTTGCATGAAATTTTCTTGCCAACTGTCATTTGTCTCGGCGAACATTTTTGCAATTTAACTTTTTCTAATTCAGAAAAACAAAATTAAGTTTGAAAACTTCTCTAAAAGTCCCCTTGCACTAACTTGCGCTTTTGGCAGTTGTTGGCACTATTTTGCTGCTGCTTTTGCTAGCTCAGCTCTCAATGCCGATATTACTACTGCCACTTCTCGTGTTGTTGTTGTTGTTGTCATTGTCATTCACCAAATTATTTATTGCGCTAATACGTAGATTGATCGTGACGCGTTTTGAAGCGATTTGCATGTAACTTTTCAGCTGGCTGGCGCTTGACTTTAGCTGCTGCACGCAGGCGGCACGCACTGTCGCCGTTGTTTGCGGCATAATGCTACGCGCTATACCGTCGCCTGCTGCATTTCTAGTATTGGATGACGATTTACAAAAACCATTTGGTAGGCATTTATTGTTGTTTTGTTACGCGCAACCGTTGACCGCTGACTGAGCGAACGCTGGAGCGAGCGTAGGAGCGACCAACACCGTCAACTTGTGAATGACAAATAACAGCACAGGCAGCAGAGTGTTGATGCTGTGGCATGCTACAGCTGCCGCATTGCCAACGTCGCAGCAGCTGAAAAAAAAAGCAGAGTTGTTGGTGTTGTTTGTTGTTGCTGCAGTTGCTGTTGCAGACGGGCTGGCGTTTGGTTGCCGAAGGTTTGACAGCGCCACCAATATGCAACAGCAGCAGCAACTGGCAATAACAATGACAACAGCAGCAACAACACAGCTGCACGATTAGAACACTGTTGTTGCCACTCCAACAACAACAATAGCAGTAGCTTCGGTATGAAAAGCAGCAGCAAAAAAAAACGCGTGGTCGCGTCAATCCGTCGCTGATCCTGCAATTTGCAACCAACCAATTGACGGCTTCAAAGCGCTGGCTTCTAAAATCCGCATTTATTGTTTTTTTTGGTTTTCTCTGGCTCAAATTACCGTTGGTATAATTGTTTGATTCCTCGAGTTTTAATAAGCAACACTTTGGGGACTTTTGTCTTTTTTTTTTTTTTGCTTCGCGAAAATAACGAATTTACAAATAAATATGTAACTCTAAACACGATCGATTGTTAATTTTACAAGAATTTGTGGCGCGTTGGCCGCCAATGATTGTGACGTATGAATAGTTTTATTGTTGTGACTCCGGCGCAAATACGACACAACGCTCTAAAGAAACTCTTACGAAATAAGACGCGTACGGTTCTGACGTTGAACCGATACTGGCGCTACCAGCCAGGCGATGTATCTCAGCGGTGCGATACTGCGCTGCGCTGCGCTGCACTGCGCTCCCCGTGCGGCCGCTAGCAGCCTTTCTAAATAGAATGCGCCCCACGCATACACGCGCGCAAACAAACAGCCTACACGGCCGAGCGCGCTGCTCTCCCTCTGTGATACAGGCTGCCTAGCGCGCGCCTGTGTGTGAATGTGTGTGCGAGTTGAAAACACTCACACCAATTCCTCATTCACCCGCGCATGTTCGTACATGCATACAAACATAGCATCACACAAGAAAAACGGAAACACGCACACACTACAAAGGAAACGCTCTCGCACACATACTTGGACGACGCGCCGAAGCGCCTACGTGAGCGCTCTGTCGTGTTCTCTTCATTTATGCTTGCATGTGTGCGCTGCGCTCTCTCTGCTCGACACACCAGCTGCGCTAGTATTTGTGTTAAGCCGCACACAGATACTCGAAACACGCGGATAATAGAGTTGTTGTTGTTGGCTGCCTTGCATTGCCTTCCATGCTATTGCTGCCGGTTGGCCATGTGCAGCTTGTTGTTTTTGCTGTTGGCGCTGATGTTGCATGCAAAAACACGTGCAAAACGGCCAACTGCAACGGATTTGTCACTCTGCGGCAGAGTTGCGGCTGCCTCCTACTCGGCGCATTGTTGCTGTCGTTGTCGTTGTGTTCACATCGCAGTCGGTCGCCGCTGTCCACTCGCATATGCATTTATTTGTTGTTATTCCCACTCCGTTTCTCGTAAGTGATTGCTTTTATTTTGATTTCTGCGATTATTTTTCCTTTTTTCTTTCATTTCTGGTGTTGTTGTGCTGGTTATTTGTGTTGTTGCTGTTGCTGCTGCATTCAACACTGCAAGCTGTTGGCTCAAGTTGTTGTTGGCGGATTTGCTTTGTGGCGATTGTTGGCGTCGCTGTGTTTGTTGTTGTTGCTGCAACTGCGTGGGCCTCTTCTAATTGCAAAAGATATGCCAATGAGAACGAGCCTCGAGAGTCGCGAATTTTATTTGCTTGCGTTTTAGCAACTGTTGTTGTTGTTGTTGCTTTAGTATCTGTGCATTATGCACCTCCCACTTCCAGTGGCCACAGCATTTTCGAGATTTCTTTTTTCTGTATTCTTCGCCGACTGCTGTTGGCAGGAAAGCGCCAGGAAAGCGTTTTGTTCTACGCTAATTAACGAATGCAAATGATTCAATTTTTTTTTCTATGCAAATGCTAGATATTAGATATACCTACATATATGTATATGCATGGGCATGCAAACAAACAATATTATATACCTACATACAGTCAGCGTCAAAAATATGAATACCCTGACGTTTTGGCGATCTTTTTTATTTGTATTTTCCATACTAATTTTTTTGATATTTCTTTATAAAAATATAGTTTATTCAACAGTAAAAATCAGCAGAATCAATTTTTTCAATTTAATATAGAGCTCAGGAAAATTCATCAAAATTTTCCAAATTTTGAATTCGATTTCTTAGAAAAATGTGTAGCATATTAAATAAATAACGCAAGAACAAAATCCGTTTTTATATGGAAGGAAGTGCGCAACACCCTTGACAAAAATAAATCTCAAAAATCAGCGGTAATTTTTAGAGACTTGAAACTTGCTCCTTATTATACTAAAATTAACAAAATTACATACCAAAAATTTTGCTAAGGAATAGAATTGAAAAGTTGAACATCTTAATGCCAATTTTTTGCTATTTCTTGAATTTTCTCGAGCTCCATATGGAATTGAAAAAGTTTATTCGACGGGTTTTTGCTGTTGCACGAACTATATTTTTATAAAAAAAAATAAGAAAAATTTTGTATGGAAAGTATAAATAAAGAAACGTCGGAGTATTCATATTTTTGACGCTTATTGTATATGTAAGTACGATAATATGCAATTGCAATTAGATAGACCCACTTTGCTTAGAATATAAATTAACCTCAGAAGTAAATGGATAAAAAACTAAATCATTATTGAGCTGCATGGATTTTTAATACAGCTTACATACATAGTGTGAAAGTAAAAAAAAAATCACTTGGACATGGGCACAAGCCAAGTATACCTGCTACCACCCTCCTAAATGACCGAAGTCCACTTCTTGTTATCTGGCTGTATATGCCTTATCCAGCGCAATCGTTGTATTTTTATGCGTACAGTTCGTCATTCCATCTTCTTGGGTACAGGGCCATAGATTTATCATGGATTAATTCTCTTGAAAGCTCCCAAAGCACTCTCGTCTTTGCTCGACATCTACCATATTTCTGCGCCTCATACGATGGCGGGCGGGCTGAGGGACTTGTAGCAATAATCCATGGCCTGCCTGGTCGTTTCATTGGTTCCAAGCCCAGCACACGACTTCCTGCTTGGGGTTTGCCTTCTCACTTTTGCTCTCTTCCAAACCGGTGTTCGGTTTTTACCCAGAGGAATCTTAGCGTAAACACCAGCAGTTGCAAAATTATCATTTCCAGACACTCTCAGGTGAATGGCGATCAAAATCACTGTCCATTATAGCCTCGAAATTATAACTGTGACGGGAAATACTATAACTATTTGCTTAATGTCGATATACAGGATACTTTCTCTTGTCCTCGTGCAATGCCTTTGGCAGAACAGAATCCAAGATTTTGCGTATGGTGATACCTGGTCTATGGTCCAGTCAGTTCGTTGACGGCGGGCTTCAGCTTTTCACACAATTCGCTCGATAAAATCTTGGCTTGACACCAGAGCGCCCTTGGAGTCCAATCGGTAGGCTTGCGTTCTTCCGACCATATTCTACACGAGAGTTAATACATTTTTCAGCGGCTGTACGTAATCTGGAGAAGCTAAGGTTCAGCTACTCGCATTTGTGTTAAATAGGCTCATAGACGTTCGAGTCAATGTTTGGTAATTGGAATGTAAGTTCTACTGGAATACTGGAAACCTGTCATACCTGCGTCATAAAGCGATCAGTTTTAAATTATCGGCATTTGATTTGACTATTGCCTTTCGAATACCGATGAAGTCGTCCAGTCGTGGACTTTCCACCTGTTCGATAGATTCCTTCGTCTCTTCGACTGAGGCATGCGGCACAAATAAACGACATGTTGCTAAATCTCGCTTTAAAACATATTGCGACGTGGCGTTGGTCCACTCAGGAGTACTCGACGGCGAAGTCTCCTTATTCATGCTGCTTTACATGAAAGATGGAGCATTCCATTTCTTGCACTGCAATTATGCCAGCCTTAATCTTGCTGAGCAAATCAACCAGCCGAGCTGAGGCATCTCTCCAATTAAGGGTCCAAATATATGCCTTCAAATCATAGCCCTTTATACACTTACTGTGGTCGCAATAAAAAGAAAGGGGTTTCACCATTTGTCCCTTTCAGTAGAACTTAGTTTTAAGTTTCTAGTCTTAAACCAAACGTACGAACAGAAATTGGGTTTTTTTTTTATTTAAGGAGCCGTTGCTTTAAGACAGACACTCGCATGCAGCTGCACTTTATGGTGAACAGATGATGTATACTTCAGAGGACCGTGGGACCCACTCTGACTGCCGTGACCCAAGACTCCCCACGGGTATGTTATCGTATCTCGCACAAGAGATTCTTACGATAACCAGGGTACGCGAATGCGGACGCAAGGGTATAGCCCAAAAATGTGTTTATAACAAAATTCCAACACTATTTCCGTAGGTATAATTGAATCTAAAAAGTCACCGCATATGTGGACTTCGGTTCTTACTTTTTTTGATGATACCACCACCGTTAATAGCGAGCGCTACAAAACGGTTATAACGGTTTTCGATTGACGTAGACGACACAGCGGACGTCACGACGGACACTCTGTATTAGCGATTTGGGGATACTTCACAGAAATTAAATGAATTGTTTTATCAAGATCGTACCATCGACGAAGCCCGCCCAAACCAGATTAAAATTTATACATATATAGCGGATTGAAAATCTGATTCTGTTTTAGGGCATTAAAAAAAGTATTATTAGAGTTTGTTAGATTTCTCTGGAAATGACAGCAAACGTTAAAATTTTTTCCTACACATTAACGAAATAAAAAGTAGAACAAGAACTTAGATCTGCATGTTGTCTAGTCCTTTCCCAAACAAATTAGATGGTTTTTCTAACTATGCGGAGATTTCAACCTACACATCTTCTTCGCAGCTCGTAGCATTTTATCCGCTTCGCAGATAAATTCTACGGATAATAATATCAAATTATCTAACCAGCCAAGGCACTCATTCAAACAAAGTTCTCAGCACACAGAGGCTAATTGTGTCAGAATTACTTTTGAAAGTACTATTTCTCTTCTTCACGCTCTCTCTCAACCAGAGTATCTGTGTGTGCATGGCAAGAGAGCGAGCGCTTACTCGGCCCCAGCTGTACTGGAATGTTTACAAAAGCACGTGCGATTCATGCCACCAACTAAATGAAGTTGAATGGAGGCAGCCACCGAAGCCAGAATTAGTGTTGCCACACATGCGCTTTCCCTACCAAAACTGGTAGGTTTTTTTCCATTCTGTAGGTTGGTAGGCATGATTGAATTTTGATAGGTTTAGAGACAATGAGTAATAGTTATTTGCGAAAAATAGAAAATATGTATCTCCAAAGATTTTAGAAACCTTTTTTATACGAATATTTCCCCGGTGCGTTCGTATAACGACTGCCGCAAACTTGTAAATATACCTGTGGAGGGTTCAGGGACATGAAATGGCTGACCGTCCCGCAAAGCGTTTAGCTAAAATGCGTTTGCATGGTCCCGAGCCTTTCCGCGGTACATTCAAATGATACACTGTAGGCCTACTTAGGAGCTAGCTGGGAATAATCTCAAATTGCTGCCCTCTGGCGGAAGTCAAAGGGAATAATACAATCAAAGAGATTCATAACTTTTTCAGGAGGAACTCTGAAAGACACCTTGAACTTAGAACTCTTACTGGCAACCTGACATCACACTGCAAGTTAACGTACCGTTTGAATTAAATGGCTCTTTCTGTAGAGATG